GGGGGGGGGGGGGGGGGGGGGGGGTGATTATGGTACTTGCAGTGACATTTGACGCATGCCGCAATCGTGGAGAAGTTCCGTTACCCCAACGGCCTTTCCCGAACAGTACACGATTGCCTCCGCACCCTCTTTTCAAAGCCAGGGAAGGATCCCAAGTCGAAGTCGCCATTTGATAAGAGACCTACACTGCTAGAAGTAGTCTTTGATGCTGATTTCGAATCTGCATTCAAAATCTGCCATACGAATCTCTGATGGAAGTTATGGAGGTGGTCTCCGGAAAACGCTCAACAAGGGCAAGCACAAAAGACGTGGTCGCCTGCAGCACACCAGCGACGGCTTGGAGTAGAGGTAAGCGTGACGCTTCGTAGGCATGGGACGAAGGGTCGGATTTGATGGGGGTTGTAGTTTGCAGGACTTTATCCTTGAGCTTGTAAAAATCTTTTTATGTTAGTTTTACCGCCTTCGGCGACCTTTTGAATGCTCAAGGTGAAGCGTCACGTTTACCTCCACTCCAAGCCGCCACTGCTGGACTGCTGGCGACCACGTCTTTGTGCTTGCCAATGTTGAGCGCTCTCCAGAGACTACCTTCATAAGTTCGTTTAGAGAATCGTTTGGCAGATTTTGAATGCAGATTCGAAATCAGTATAAAAAATACTTCTGGCAGTGTCGGTTTCGTTTCAAATGGCCACTTTGACTTGGGATCCTTCCCTTTAAGTCTTGGTGATCCCGATCCGAGAAGCCGAGTGCTTCTGTGAAGCGGTGAGGATACACATGGTCGTGTTCGGCAAATCCTACGATATGTACATGGCCTCCGAAATCAGGTGTTCTGGATTGTTTCGTTCTCGAAACGTTCTCGAGACAACTGAAGGCGGTTAAATGCTTTCCCAAGATTGACGAAGGCAAGGTAGCGAGGTCTACGCTTCTTCACATACTTCTTCATCGCCTGTCTAGCCATGAAGGAGCAATCCGTTTATACCATTCTGGCATGAAACTTGCTCCTGTGGTGTCGGAACCAGTTCCTCCAATCTTGAGTCGACCAACCGCTCGTACATTTTCATCGCGTGAGCAGTGAACCTGGTCCCTCGGTAGTGGGAACATTCAGTCGCGTTCCTTTCTACTTAAAGATGCGAGCAATGTTGCTGCTTCTCAAGGCATCTGGGATTCTTTCTCTAGTGGTCACAGTATTCAGGAGTCGGATGAGCCCCTAATATTGAGCTCTCAGAGTGTCTTCGATGAGTCGCTGCGTACCCCTTCCGAGCTAGTTGTCTCCCAACCTTATATTTTTCTATTGCTCGACGAAACTTATCTTCGCCCCGGAAAACGATTTGGCACCCGTTGCCTCTACGTGGGAGCTCTTCTCACACGGATCTTCGTGTGGGAGCTTGTTGATGTATTTATTCTACCCGCACCTCACCTCACCAGGCTACCACAAGAGCTGCTTCGATGTTTTGAGAATGTGCTCAGCTGTGCTTACACACCTTTCCATACAATGTCGCGGTCTCCTCTGTGTTCTGTTAGCGGAATAGTATCCGGACCCGATGGTAAAGACGCATCTCCTCTCGCTTTCTATTTTTTGTTCGAGGTAGCGTCACACACATTCCGGTGCTATCCCACTTCATTGTTTTCAGTATAGTGGAGACAACCCATCGCGTCGACCACTCTGCGTGAACATGCGAACGATAGTCCTGCTTCTCTGAACATTCGGGATACTTCCCCTCAGCAGTTACAGTGTTCAGTAGTCGTTTGAGGCACCCAATCATCTGCACTACAACCTTCCTCCATGCCCCAATTGCTATCCAATCAGAACTGGCCCCTGGATTTAGATGATCTCCACAGTGCTCCTGTTCGCTGCAGTTCTCTTTAAGGATCTGAGAAAATAGCCTCCAATATCCTTCGCTCAAGATTTTCTTTCTCACTTTAGACTCCACAACTGAACCATCTGCTCCGTTCTAATCTTTGTTTTTTGAAAAGGCCCATGACCATATCTGCTGAAAGAGGCCTGCGCTGCTAAGTTCGATTCTTCGCCTGGCAGTATAATGGGCCCTCTATAGTTTGAAAGGTCGTTTCTATCTAGACCCCTCCGTTTTCCGTCAACATGACCATTCAGACCACTTGTTGTGTTGTAACACTCCCTTCCAGAATTGATCTCTCTGCATTATCACGGTTCCGATAACACGGATATTATTACCTAGTACCCTTCTTTCGTGTCTATCCTAGCAGTCTTTATTCGGTAGCTGATCGTGTTTAGAGCGGAAACAGTCTTTGAGTGACTCCGAAATCTACTGAACCAATATTTCATTTGGTTTTCTCCGTTGTAGTAGAGCTTGATACCTTTCCAGTTTCCCTGAGCTTTGTAGTGTTTTCTATTGTGTATTCAGAGACACATGGCTTGGATGTTCCGACCCTTCATCAAATCAGTAACCTCCCAGTAGTACTGAAAAAGCCATCTGACGTTCAGAGTCATAATTCGAAATAACAATAAGATCTTTGAGTCAGGTCGTTCACTTTTCGTAGCTCTCTTGTACCGTACACAAAACTCGAGCGGGTCTCGACGCCACCAACCCTAGCTTTGTTACCGATTTAATCAGTGACTTTAAGCCCGATTGTTGTGACAGGGTCTCGCATCAGCAGACCTGTAAACTTAGGCTTGAGGCTGGGATTGTGTCGCGGCCATCAAGCAATATACTTCATTCTTACGCCAAGGTGGGTTACAGTGGGCACTTAAATCTTTATCTTACGAAAAGACATTAGGTACAGCTTCCGTTATCTATGTATGTTTGAGTTAGGAGCTTGAAGATGGTG